TTATGTAAGAATTATACAATGTCATTTCTCCAACTGTTCTGTAGTAGCCTGAGCTCTTGCATCCCAGAATAATCGAGAACATAACTGAAAATAAAATTCTAAGATATTACTAAAGAATAACAGCTGTCAGTTATGATACAACTGGATGGAGTTAGAGAGGTACAATGGAGACACAACTCAGCTTGTAACACTGCACTGCATAAAAATGTACAATGGTTTAATACTATAAGAAAATATTAAACAAAACCAGATCAATATATCATTAACATTGAAACTTAATAGTAAATTTATTTACATAGTAAAATGAAAAATAAATGCATATATGCATAAATAAATGCATCATAGTTTGGTGGCACTATCAAAATTGACACCCTTTTATTTGAGCTTGGGAAAATAAGTGTTTTTCATATATAAATCTTTCTCATTTCTTTGCATTCATAGAAAAGATCAGTGAACTAAATTAACATCTATTTTCTGTACCTTTTGATTCAGACAATACCTCAGTACTCATCTGTAAAGAATATGGAAAAAAATTCTCCCACACTTTCTCAAATCTACTAAAGTATCTATCACCGAATTCCCTAAGGGAGAAGAAACTAGATGAAGGGGACCACAGTTCTGTGCTCCTGCTTAAGGGTATTTCCATCTTGAGTGAACTCCAAGGCCATTTTGCATGTAAAAAGCAATTACACCAATTTCCAAACAGATGCCTCAAGAATAGTTTTCAACTCTGTTTTTAACTCTTGTTTTCCATCAGTCTGAGTTCAAATCAATATCACACATTCAAAAATTTCGGAAAGGAAGAAAAAAGTACTACTGGAATTTTAAATGCTTATTCTCTGGGCTTTGGGATTGCTGGCACTTACTTTTCTCCTCTTTTGCTTTACTTCCTATTGTGTATCATGTTTGACATTGCTTCCTATTCTATATAAATGCCATTTTCATTAAAAGATTCATGGGCTGAAAATAGACAGAGCAGGTGAGTAGCCCAGCGGGCAGGCCAGTCAGCTGTGAGAAGTGGTCTGTTTCTGCATACAAATCACCATTAAATGGAAAATATGCACAACCACCCTCCCAGGAGGTAGAAGATCTGCCCACGGCTGTTCCAATCATGGCTACTTCCCGCCCCGGGCTCTGGGCTTCCCTCCACTCATGCCCTCTGAATCCTGCAGCATTTTCTGCACATAGACAGATTTTTAATGGGTGTCCCCCTCACACATATTCCCATACATAATACCTTACAGGCTGATGGTAGGGCCCCTTTAGAGAGATGGAAGCCATTCGTTCAATCCTCTGTGACTGAAGAAGGATCTGGTTAAATAATCTGTTAAATTATCACATAACAAGAAGGGTAGCATTTTCCCTTCCCACTGCTATATTTAAGGAAAAAAGATATATCCCTCTTCAGTTATTTGAAGGAAAGGAGGTAGGTGTCTGTTCTCAGAAAATGGCTTCAAGCTGTAGGTTGCAAGAGGAAAAAAAACAAACTGAGGAAAGTGTCAGGTTAGTCAGTGCTTCCTTTTGACTGGTCTAGCCACTTGCACGCTGAAGGGCATCAATTTTTAGAAAGCTCCCTGTTGAGACTGGCGTCTACTCAAGTCTGTCTTCTGACACACCTCATCCTCCCACACAACACCAACAGAACTTACACATCTTTGCCCATGCGCTACACTGTGTTTTGCAGGGCCAGGCCCTAAAAGTTAGATGCTGTGTCATCCAGCTGCTTTAATGATCACTTCCCTTGACCTGCTGGCCATACTTCTGTCTAATGTAGCCCAGGATAACATTAGCCTCTTTGCCACAAGGGCACATTGCTGGCTCATGGTCAGCTTGGTCTACCAGGATGCCCAAATCCTTTTCTGCTAAGCTGCTATCCATCTGGATAGCCCCAAGCATGTACTGGTACATGGGGTTGTTCCTCTCCAGGTGCAGGACTTTGCACTTCTCCTTGTTGAACTTCATGAGGTTCTTGTCAGCCCATTTCTCCAGCCTGTCAAGATCCCTCTGGGTGGTAGCACGACCCTCTGTTGTACCAGCCACTCCTCCCAGTTTTGTGTCAACAGCAAACTTACCGAGGGTACACTCTGCCCCATCATCCAGATCATTAATGAAGATCCCTGGGGTATACTGCTAGTTACTGGCCTCCAACTAGACTTTGTGCCACTGATTACCACTTGCTGGGCCTGGCCATTCAGCCATTTTTCTATCGACCTCACTGTCTGCTTATCCAGCCCATACATCAACAGCTTGTATATAAGGATCTTATGGGAGACAGTGTCAAAGGCCTCACTGGAGTCAGGTAGGCAACATCTACTACTCTTCCTCTCATCTACCAGGCCAGGCATTTCATCATAGAAATACATCAAGTCAGTCAAGCATGACTTCCCCTTGGTGAAGCCACGCTAACTACTCCTGATGGTTTTCTTGTCCTTAATGTGCCTGGAAATGGTTTCCAGAATTAGCTGCCCCATCATCTTCCCATGGATCAAGGTGAGGCTGACCAGCTTGTAGTTCCTTGGGTTCTCCTTCTTGCTCTTCTTGAAGACAGAAGTAACATTTGCTTTCCTCCAGTCATTGGGCACTTCTCCCAGTTACCATCATCAATCAAAGATTATGGAGAGTGGCCTTGCAATGACATCGGCCAGCTTCCTCAGCATGATGGGTGCTTCCCATCAGGGCCCATGGACTTGCATATGCCCAGTTTGCTTAAGTATTCCCTGACCTGATCTTCTTCCACAAAGGGTACATGTCATTCCAGCCTTTCCCCCTGGTCTCTGGGACCCAGGATTCCTGAAGGTCAGTCTCTTGCTAGTACAGACTGAGGCAAAGAAAGCATGTAGTACTTCAGCCCTTTCCATGTCCTTTTTTTTCTTTTTCTGGGGAAAGAGAGTGATAGCAGGGCCAATCAAGCACTGCTTGTTTGCCTTTACAAGCATTCTGGTCACATAATAGGATAGCTGCATGAAAAGCAGAAAATGCTTTTGACAAATCTGAATTTGGCACAGATAGGCAAAACAGCACAGAATTACATAATACTTAAAATGAGTTTGTACAATTGGGACAATGAACGATGAGGATTTGCTATAGGACTTCTACTGCTGTAAGAGTCAGTTGAACATGTGCCCTGTAACAGCCAACATTCACTCCCAATAACATCGAGCCTCAGCTTATGAATGTGCTTCTGTCCTTTCTGGACAAAGACCTGATTGCCTGGTTTCACCTAATTTTTCCATCGCTTTGTATAATAAGACAGCTTCTTGACTCTATAGTCACATACAGTAGGGCCTTCATCAGATACTTTTGTCATAGTCATCAGCACCCTGAACATCTTTTGTTCACCTGAGTGCACATTTCCATCTGCTTCATAACCTTCAGACGGCTCAAGCAATTACTTTCATTAGTATGCTTAAATAACCACTATGGCACCATTATTACTTTTTTCCTGGGAAAGAAAGACAAAACGAAATGTGCTCTCTGAACGGAAGCAGTTAAAACACATTATTATGCTTAAAATAGGAAGGAAAAAATTCAGATTCTGTTGAGATGTTTTACCCTCTTCTGTTGAAGTATTTCATTTTCCTGATCAATTTGAATTGATGGTAAATATGCATTTATGCAAATTCAGGAAGTTAAACACAATTAAGAAAAGAACAACTGTCAGTTGATGATGCAGTATATAATGTTATCAGTCCAAATAAATGATACAAACTGCAGCATGATCCATAAGAGGGATGAGTTTTTTGGGCAGAGTTATTAAGACATGAAACTGGTCTACCGACTTGAAATTCTTTAGCTCAGATCTTTAAGCTCTGTGTAAAACTGGGAAAAATGCCCATTGCTTGGAGTTGTGGAGTTTCTTAACTTAAACATAAGAAGAAAGTTTTTATTGTGAGAGTGGTCAGACCCCAAAACAGGATGCTCAAGGAGGTGATGGAGTCTCTGTCCTTGGAGATAATCAGAATCTGTCTGGGCACAGTCCTCACCAACCAGATGCAGATAAGACCCTGCTAGGAGCAGGCAGGTTGGATTAGATGTTCCTTTCACCCTCACTATTAAATCAACCTAACGAACAATGTAGATTGAAAATAATTCACTGGGAAGGAAGTATATACCTTTGATTGTAATTCGCTATTGTTTAAAAAAGCTAATAATGTGAAAATCATCATTCCTGAAATCAGAGTTCCTTATATTGTTACCACATTCTGAAATACAACAAACTGAGCATGAGATCCAGAAGATGTCCGAAGTCAGCTCTGCTAACCCTAGGTCCCAGAGAACACCAACTAGGGTTTTTTTTGTTGCCTGAGAAGTATGATGTAACCTAAGGTAGCACATATTTTTTTTCCAGAAGCATGTTGTGGAAATGAGTTTCTTAGGATATGTGAGTACTAACTGTTTCTGTTCTATAGTGACAATGCTGGTGTCAT